TCAGCTCCTTCTGGATGCAAAATCAAAAAAAGCAGGAGCTATACCAGGAGTGATCGACGGATTTCTTGCCATTCCATGTCTCAATCCTGCCAAGATCCTCTGGGTTTTCCACTCCATCATGTATCTCATAGACGCCATCAGCCGTATTGTTCGCCTTAAATGAAAATCTAAGTTTAAAAAATCAAAATACTATGGATTTAAGGCGAAAGCACCTCATAGAACATTCCAATCCGATCGGGCAGATCAAGAATTGAATCGCAGACAAAATTCATGAAGGGAATTTCGCATACCTGGAAGCATTTGCAGTTCTATTTTCAATTACACTTCAATTATATAATTCTCGTTAAAAAACGATCCACTTTCGCGGTATCAGCAAATTCTGAATGCTGCTGATTTCGCGGTATGCTGAATTAACGATTTTACCTTTTCCACTGGCGCGTCCCTCCCTCAACCGTTTAAGAAAGGAAGGGCGCACTAATGAGTAAAGCGCAATAGCAAGCCCGGTGTTCAGAGAGACCCACTTTATCCCCGAAAAATTGGAGCAAAGGTAGCTGGAGGAAAGCAGTTCCATAAACATGTCGCGCCAAGTCTGCTTCGAGCCCCCTCGATGATGGGGGCTGGATCTTGGTACGAATTATAAGGTTTCGAAAGCACGGACCGAAAAAGGATAAAAGGGACAAAGCAAGACGTAATGTAGCATATTCGAAACCGAGCCACTTTCTGCAACTAATTCTGCCCACCTTCCCTCTCCCCAGGCATTCTACCCCGTTGGTGTTAGTCCCGTCAATGAGCAGCGTAAAACATAGGGAGTTGCCTATTCGGGACAGGGCCTAGCAGACTCCAGTGCACGGTGCATCAAAAATAGATATGAATTAGGATAAGTTCTCTGGGACTCAACCATTGGGACGGATTCTCAATATAATCACAATAATTTTGAAAGCTTCGAGGCACATCGGAACCAGTCGCATAGTGTAGAACGTAGTCAGTACGGGGCCAATTCGTGTTTCTCCATTACGCTATATACTTACCTTATCGAGAAACGGGTCCTTATATCCCTCGAAGAGGAATTCTCCCACTTCGACCTCAAGAAAAGCGGTTTGCGACAGAAGTGTCGTTGCGGCCGCACGCATTCCTACAGTTGATGCAGCTTCAACGAATTTCTAAAGATACAACTTTTACTGTCAGAAAAGACAAGAATGTGTGGAAGAATTGTGTATAAAAATGTATGGGATGAAAGAAGAGAATGAAGTAATGTCGTAGGAAACTCGTACAAGCAAGCGTTTCTTACCTGATAGATCATATTAGGAATCCATATCCGATTTCCTAGGATACAAGTCAGACAAGATTCTGTCTCGTTGAAAGTGTAAGAGATGAACCGCTTGAACTTCACTATGCCATTTTCGTGTGAAAGAACCTTGAAAATGACTGTCTCAGCAAGATTC